TGGACCATGATGCTCTTATTTATGCTTCCTGTGCAGCTGGGATGGTAGGTGTGAACCACAAAGCCCACCTTTTATTGGTTGAGATGGGGGTCTGTCCAACATTTTCCCAGGCTGGCATTGAACCATGATCTTCCCCATCTCTACCTTCTGAGTAGCTAGGATTACAAACATGAGCCTCCACACCTGACTAAGAATTATTTTTTGAGTTAAATAACCTAGTTCCTGGCACACAGTTTCTCAATACATGTGAATTGCTATTATTAGAATTTCCTTCTAAAACTCTGTTTTAAAATTCTTTATAAAACAGTAGTTCTTAACTTGTTTTGTATACTTACTTGTTTGAAAATCTGAAGAAAACTGTAATATATTTAGAGGTCTTGCTTCAGAAAGCACACATATGTGCACACACACATGCACGAACAATTTCCTGTGATTTTCAGGATGCTGCTACATATCTACCTTTGTCATAGATCCTAACTCAAGATTTTGTTCAAAAAAAAAAAATATATATATATCCTGAACTGGCTGTGGTGGTGCATGCCTGTAATCCCAGCACTCAGAAGGCTGAGGCAGGAGTTTGAGGCCAGCCAAGCCTATATAGCCAGTTCCAGGCCAGTCTGGTCCAAAAATGCTGCAACCCCCACTTCTGTGTTTATATAGTGATTCTTGTTAGGGTTATTAGTGACAATTTGTCTTTTTCTAATGACTTTTTTCCACCTTGAGACAGGGTCTGTCCTAGAACTAGCCATGAACCCATGATCCTCCTGCCTCAGCCTTCTGAGGGCTAGGATTATAGGTGTGTGTTACCACATTGGGCTCTTTTTCTAATTTCTTTTATAGTTGTGCTGTTGATTTATCTCTTCTTTCTGCATTATAAGCGTAACATAACAACCAATCTGGGCTACATAGTGAGTTTGAGGACAGCTTGGGCTACATAGCAAAACCCTGTCTAAAAAAAACCCAAACAAGCAAACAAGCAAAACAGTATGGTATATTGTATTATTAATGTAGTGAGATTAGTTAAGTGAAGTGTATTAGTGGAGACTTCAAGACCACACAATTTATTTGTTCCAAGCTTATGTTTTAGGATGAAAATTTAAAAAAGGGAAGTTGCTTCTTTCTGGGCTGATAGTTGTCCAGAGAATATGATGAACATTCTTCAAAATTCGTAAAATGTTTGACATGCCTGTATTCTTAAACTACTCAGGAGGCAGAGATCTGGAGGGTCAAGGTTCCAAGACAACATGGCCAAATAGTTTGAGAGACTCTATTTTGAAAAACCCATCACAAAAAAAAAAAAGACTGGTGGAGTGGCTCAAGGTGTAGGTCCTGAGTTCAAACTCCAGTACTGAAAAAAAAAAAAAACCCAAAACCCAAAAAACCTGTGGCAAGCACCAACCCCACAAAGTGACGTAGGACAAAAAGGGCAGGGATTTTCTGTATGTCCAGGTAGAGCGATATTATGACAGCAAGCAGAGGGGCTGTGGGTGGGCAGACTAAGCCAATTTTCTGCGGGAGTGTGGGTGGAGAGCTAAACCTACAGAGGACACTGTGCTTGGGCTTGAGTGCGTGGAGCCCAGCTGCAGATCTAAGAGAATGCCAGCCATGAGAGATGCAGTCTTGAACTGGAGGAGACAGGAAGAGAAACGGCTGACTAATCCAGGTCGAGGCTTTGTTTATGTGTGTTTTTTTTAAATCATGAAGACAATAAAATTTTGAGGTTATGTTTATTTAAAGAAAAAACTGGAAGAAATCAAAGTAATCATAACTGTACTTAGAGTCTGAGGAAACTTGTTTTTTGCAGAAAAGAAATACTATCTAGGGAGTTATAGCAGCTATACACAGCTATCTAGATAATATAAGTACTTTCTAGGGAATTATAACAGCTAAGGCACCAAAATACTGAGCTGTGGACCAAACTCAGAGCCTCGAAAATGCTTTGAAAGTACTCTACCACTGAACTATATCCCCATCCCTTTTTATTTTATTTTGAGACAGGATCTCATTTAGTTGCCCAGGCTGGCTTTGAACTTGGGGTCCTCCTGCCTCAGCCTTCCAGTTAACAGGGATTACAGGCATGCACTACTCTACTCAGCTCTGACCAAATCTTATAGCAAGTAGGATATGAAGTATAGTGTTTCTTCCTGAAACTTGGTTTTGGAGAAAGTAGTGAAATAAGGTATAAAACTGAAGTATTGGAAAGAATAGCGCAGACTTTCTGGGCTTTTAAAATCTTCCATTTGTGTTTGTAGATTAGTGTGTGGAACTTCAGAATGGCATTTTCCCACTGTCCATTTGGAGTACAATTAAGACAAATTAATACAAATCAAAATAATATGGCAGCAGCATCACATAATTTGTGTACACTGATGTAGTAGCAGATTTAATTTAGTGCAGCTTTTGAGGAGTCTTTTGTATTTCAATTTATACAGCTGCTATCCAGGGCTAAGCTGGCCAGTCTCTCAGTCTCAAACATCTTTCAACTGATTCTCTTTTTATGTCTGTGGATTAGCTGAATGAATGCCTCATCTTCAGTGCACCTTGGTAACTAACTAACGATGTTAGGCGAGTAAAACTAAAGTAGACAGGAAGGACTTTACATCCTCCAAAGGCAGATGCCAAAAGGAACAGCATGCTTTGTCCCCAGTCTGGACAGTCCCTATGAATAACTCTTTAAAATGCAGCTGTGAACAGGGATATGAAGACTGAGGAGCAACTGCTGAATCTGGCAAAGGCGTGCCCTCCAGGGCCCTGGCAGATGCCATCTCAGTAGAAGTCTGATCACAGGAGTTGAGAAGTGAGCAGTATGTTAGGGCGTGGCCACTAAAAGGTGAAGGTCCCTAAGTGATTTGGCTGAGAAGGGAAGGAGGGAGGTCATATTGCCCATGACTATGGAATTAAGGAAGTTTTTTTGTTATTGTTGGCTTTTTTTTTGTTTTTGGGTGATACTAGGGTTTGAACTCAGGACCCTGTGCTTGCTAGGGTAGGCACTCTACCATTTGAGTTATGCCACCAGCTGCCAACATTTCTTTTAATATGGGAAAGGGTTGAGTGATAGGAAGAGGCTAGTAGAAAGTTGGGTGTTGTGGTATTTGCCTGTGATCCCAGCCCATGGGTGGTGAAGACAGGAGGATCATGATTTCTAGACCTGCTTGCCTATGTAGAGAGACCCTATCTGAAAAGGAAAAAATAAAAAAATAAAAAAACCCCAAACTAGTACAGAGGGGAAGGCTGATGATATAGTACAGAGGTGGTTAATGAGGGGAATGAGATTTCTGAAAAGATAGGAAGGGAGGGGATTCAAAAATACCTAGTAAGTACCCTATCATGCCATTTATTGGGGAATACAGCATTGAACAAAGCAAATAAAATCCTTGTCCTCAGAGACACTACAATAGAAACAGAGAACAGAAAGGTAAATAAGTAAAATACGTGGCATTTAATATAAGTAAATCTAGTGGATTTGGGGTCCAGTATTTAAAAATAGCTATTTTAAGGTTAAGGGTATAGCTCAGTGATAGAGTACTTGCCTAGCATGCATGAAGCCCTCCCTAGGTTCAATCCCTACTACCATCAAAAACAGAGGCAAAAATAGAGCTAGTGCGGGACAAAATAGTCTGGGCTAGTTGTTAGATGGGGTCTTGCCCAGGCTGGCCTTGAACCACCATCCTCCCTGTTCCATGTTCTATTTTTTTTTTTATTTCTTCTTTATTTTTCTTTGTTTCATTCTGTGCTTCTTTTTTTTTTTTTTTTTGGCAGTACTGGGGTTTGAACTAAAGGTTTCATGCTTGCTAGGCAAGTACTCTACCACTTGACCACTCCACCAGCCATTTTTGTAGTTTTTTCTTTTTAAAAAATTGGCATATGTTAATTATGTGAAAGGGTTTCATTGTAATATTTATGACATGTATAATATACTTTGATCAAATTTCGCCCCATTTATATTACTCTTTTGTAGCCTTCCTCTTTCCTCCCCTATGTGTTGGTTATTTGTTTTATTTTTTTGGTCTTTGTTGTTACTGTGGATCAAACCTAGGGCATTGCACATGCTAGGCAAGCGCTCTGTCACTGAGCTATATATCCCAGCCTGTTGTTTTTTGTTTTTTGTTTTTTTTTTTGTGGTACTGGGACTTGCTAGACAGGTGCCTTACCAACTGAGCCACTCTGCCAGCCCAAGTGTTATTTTTAGGATAGGTCTCACTTAATACCTGGGCTGATCCTCCTAAAGCCCTGGTTTCAATCACTAGCACCAAAAAAAAAAAAAAAAAAAAAAAAAAAAAACCAGAGAGAGAGAGCTACCTGCTCATTAACCTACTTCAGATAAGGAATGGAATTATGATTGGATCTCACCTTAGTCAATGGTTTCTTGGAGGATAAAGGATCCAGGTTCAGAGCACCACCCTGCTTTGAAGCACACCTCTTGTGTGCTTATGGAAAAGGGAAGAAATCTCTTAAGCAGAGGGCTGAAATCAATACAATATCTGAGAGTTGTGTCGTTTTAAGTGGAGAATAAAGGACTGTAGAGAACTCTCTGAGACTCATTTCACTTTTAAGTCTCCAGAAGACTGAGCTAACTCAAAAAAGGTACCAGCTTCTGGGAAGGAGCTGAGGGACCTAGGTGGCTGGTTTAATGGCAGGAAGGCAAAGACGAGACCCTGTAGCAAGTCAGGTTAGAAGAGGGGAAACAATTAGTTTATAGTTTTGCAGTACTGGGCATTGAACTCATTGCCTCACACTTGTTAGGCAAGTGTTCTACTTCTTGAGCTATGCCCCTTGAACTCACAATCCTCCTGCCTCAAATAGATACAGTTGTAACTGGTTCAAACTTTTAATGTGATGTGTGTGGAGCACTGTGAACTATCTTCACTTAAGAAAGTCTATGACTGGCCTTGTAGCTCAAGTGGTAGAGTGCTTTTCAAGCTTCCCTAGCAAGCTCAACGCCCTGATCAAGCCTTAGTACCACAAACAAAGTCTAAAATGTTGTATGTTTTTGTTTATAGCTTATACGGTTCAGACATCAGAGAGTGTGACTCCGTCTTCTGCTTCTGAGGCCCATTCGAAAGCGTTGGCTGCTTGCCATGGACCTCTGGACCACTATGATTTTCTGATCAAAGCTCATGAACTAAAGGACGATGAACATCAAAGAAGAGTCATCCAGTGTTTGCAGAAATTATTTGAGGACCTTAAAGGATACAGTGTAGAGGCAGAAGGCTTTCTTTCAAAGGTGAGGTTTGTGTGCTATTGAAGATGGAAAAGCTAAAAATGTAGGCATTTCATAGCATGGTTCAACACTGTGATAGATAATCAAAAATGCTTGAAAATTTCCCACCAGTCCCTTGAACAAGTTCCGTTGGCTACTTATTCTTGACCTTTTAATATTCTGTAGCTTTCTTTCATCTTCATGGATTCAAACTGCATCATAATTAGGTTATTAAAAATATAGTCTGGTCTAAATGAAGACTTGTATGTAATTCCAAGCTCTCCCTTTCTTCTAGCTTAGGGAAGAGCAGTGGAGAAGGGGATATGGCTGGTTCTTCTTTTTGTCTTTCTCTTTTCTGGCTTGCTTGGCTTCTTAGGGTCAGAATGAGAAGGGTGAAAGATTAGGGCAAAAGAGCAATCTTAGGTGCCCAGTCAGTTACTGGGGCCTTGGTGTGGTAGAGGCTGACTGCTGCTTTTTGTTAGGGTCACATTTTTGGGTTCTTCAAGACTCTCATGGGGACCTCTAGAGTGTTCCATTATTTGAGTGCCTTCTCATGACTCTGAGGAGATACCTTACACCCCTGCATTTTGCTGGAACCCCCTTATTCTTACAGTTAAGAGTCCTTCAGGGGTTCTTCAGGACAGCTCTGGCGGGATCATCTTTCATGGTGTTCACTTAGGAAAAACTAATATTTTGTTTCTTTTTTCATCCCTTACCTCATGGGCAGTTTCAGTCTTCTGTCCTTGGACTTGTGCAGCAAAAAGCGGGCACCAAACTGTGTGTCCTCATATTCTTGAGGACGAATGTCAGGTTCTTCTACTAACTCTTCTATACCCTACTTTGGTAGCTGCCTGAGATTTCTTCACCTAAGCAAGCATCTGGCTGGGGAAGAGGGAAACCCATCTCATCTTATACTCAGCCCTAATCTCTTTGGATGTTTCTCTTGGGAATACCACTGTACTCCCTGAAATTGGCATAAGGTAAAGTCACAGCATTCCTTACCTAGCTAATAACTTTCTGCCTTGATCATTCTTTTCAGTTCCATTTTGGTTTTAAGAACTGTTTTTGTCTTTTTTAGAGACACAGGGTCTTGTAGCCTCAGCTGGCTTTGAACTCAAGATCTTCTTCTTCAGCCTCCTGAGTGCTGGGATTATAGGTATGTGTCATTATACCCAGCCTGCCTGTTTTTTCTTTTAAAAGAATTCCTGCATGGATGTGAATAGTGCCTCTCTTTAGGGTATGTGGGGAACTTATCTCCCCTTATCCTCAACTTCGAGCTTTGGCTGAAATTCTACCACAACTGGAAAGCTCTCTTTCTTTATCCTATTATAGAAACCAATATCATCAGCGGTATCATCTTTAAATTAAAAGGGATGTTAATAGTAATAAGAGTCATATTACAGTTTAATATAAGAAACTAGTTTTTCCTTAATTGACTGGATACTACTCTGTCTCTTCCCCATTCCAATTATTCTTTTGTCATAAGGTCTTTAGGAAAAAGACACTGTATAGCATGTACTAGTGTTATTTTATTTAAAACTCTGGTGAAGGTAATTTTGGTTTTTAACAAGAGCTTGAAGGCTGGGGATGTAGCTCAGTTGTAGTATGTTTATCTGGCATACACAAGGCCCTGGGTTCAGTCTGCAGCACTACAAAAAACAAAAGCAAAAACAAAAACAGAGCTGGCAGAGTAGCTCAAATGATAGAGTGCCTGCCTAGGAAGCATGAGGCCCTGAGTTCAAACCTCAGCACTGCCCGCCTCAACAAAGGAACCTCAAAAACAGAAAAAAAGCAAGGACTTCAGAGTGTGATTAAACAGTTTTATTTTTAATGTGAAGTAAAAGGTTGCTATGTGTTAACATCATTTGGTTGTAAGGAATAGAGATTTATCTCTGTTACAGAAAGAAATAGAGATTTAGAATAACACAAATAAAAATAGCAAGGAAGGGCATCTCCATTATACAGCTGGGCCTCACAGTGCTCTGCCATTCATGTAATCCAATCTTAGTCTATCCAGCCTGCTATACCAAAATATCTTTAACTGGGTGGCATATAAGTAACAGAAAATTATTTCTCAGTTCTGGAGGCTGGGAAGTTCAAGATCAAAGTGTCTTGTGAAAATTTGGTATCACAGGAAGGCCTGCCTGTATCATGAAAGGCCTGACTTTTTGGTGTGTCCTCACTTAGTGGAAAGGGTGGATGATCTTCTTTGAGCCTCTTCTATAAAGAGGCACTAATCCCATTCATGAAGTACTGTGGTTTGGAAATGGTTTGCTCCCAAAGATTCATGTGTTGGGAATTTGGTCCCCATTGTGGTAGTGCTGACAGAGGTGGAGCCTAGTGTGAGGTCCCTAGGTCATTGAGACAGCTCCTTCCCTTCCCTCCACTCCCTCCTTCTTTCTTTCTGCTGAGATTGAACTCAGGACCTTGCACATGCTGGCAAGTGCTCTAACACTGAGCTACATCCCCAGCTCTTATTTTTTTTTTTTTGGACAGAATCTTTCTATGTAGTTCAGGCTGATCTTGAACTTGCAGTCTTCCTGCCTCTGTCTCCCAAGTAGTATTTGGATTATAGGCATGCACCACGATGCTGGTTAAGTTTCTTTTTTCTTTTTGCTGGTACTGGGGTTTGAACTCAGGGCCTCATGCTTGCTAGGCAAGTGCTCTACCACTTGAGCCACTCCATCATCCCTAAACTTCTTTTCTTTAAAAAGCTTTCCTGCCTCAAGTACTTCATTATAGTAACAAAAATGAACTAATATTACAATGTCTGTCTTCATGATCTTATCAGGACACATGCATTCAGAACACAGAGTTTACTTACTCTGTTGTTCTTTTTCCTTCATGTCTATTTCCACTTCTTTTTGTTCTAACACTTTTTAACTTCTTTCTATATATCTGTGGTTTAAATTCCTGAGTAAGACTGACAAGCTAACCAATCACCTCCTCCTGGTTTGGGCAGAGCGTTCACACCAGGCTTTCCAAAGACAACTGGGCATCATAAAGATTGAATTTCTGCCTATCATACCATCCAGGGTTGCTTTTTTTTTTTTCCGTACTGGTACTTGAACTCAAGGCCTTCACCTTGAGCCACTCTGCCAGCCCCACTCCCGCTTTTTTTGTGTAATGGCCCATGGACTCCTGTAGGGATTGTCTGAGTTCACATCTCAGGAGTTAATGCATGGGCGGAGGGACTGAGATCTAGTCCTGCACTTCAGGGGTGGCATGAAGGAGGTCTGTAATGGCGACCCAATTGGTCCTGGAGGGTGGTGAGCGCCTCTCCTCTTTGATGGTGCTGGGGCTGGCCCCATGAGGAGTTTCCCTGCTGCCTTTGCAATGGTCGCCCTTCTATATCAGATTGTGAGTGACACTCATAAGCCCAGAGACGGCCACGTTTGCAACGAGGACATATTATTCCTGGGGGCTTTTGTCCTTGACCAAAAGATCCAGCAGATGGTGAATTTGCCTTTGTGGCTTTATGACATTCTTTGGCAAAATGACCAGGTTTTTTACAATTATAACAGACACCTGCTTTTGAAGGAAGTAAGGTTTCCTTTAGGGCAGACGCTATTGCCATTCCCTGAACATAGCCTTCCCCTATATCTGAACAAAGCTGAATCATGTCTTGTAAGGAAGACTTTTTTCTATAAGGTCTGAGAGCTTCCTTACAATGTTTGTTAGAATTTTCAAAGGCTAACTGTTTTATAAGGAGAGTACCCAGTTCAGGGTCCCCAACAGTTCTACCCATATGGTGTAATAAGCAAGCCACAAAGTCTTGAAAAGGCTCTCTAGGACCCTGAAGAATTTTAGTAATTTCTTGGTCTTATCTCCTTTAGTGGGTAGCTCTTTCTACACTCTAGTGGTGGCGATACCTGTTTGGTCATATGTTAATAGGGGATAACTTAATTGATTTTGCAAGCCTGTATGGTGCCCTTGATCTAGGAGCATATCTGCAGTAATTGGTATGCCATGAGCAGTATCGCGGGTGGCTTGTTCTTTACATAATTCAGTATAGCTAGTTTTCCATAATAAATAATCTCCAGGGCCAAGATAAGCTTTAGCAATAGCCATCCAATTGTCAGGAGGGAAAGCAGAGCCAGCAGCGATGCTATTTAACAGTTGCTGTGTAAATGGAGCTGTAGCCCCACACGTGGTACAAGCTTCCTTGAGCTCTTTTAAGGTTTTAAATGGAATAGGTTCATAATGCCTCTGAGGCTGCCCTGTAGCTGGATCGGTTTGTTCAAAGACTGGGTATATATTAAAACCGAAAGTGTCCTCCCCTGACTTTCATGCCAGAGCCAATGTATGTTGTAATGGACTCTTTCTAGAGGATATAGTTGAAAGTGATTTTCTGAAAGGCTGAGGCAGAGCATCCTGATAATCTTCCTCATTATCATTGCCTTTTTAAAAAAAATTTTTATTTTATTCATATGTGCATACATTGTTTGGGTCATATCTCACCTCTATCCCGTGCCCCCTCCCTTTCCCCTTATCTCTAATTTTGTTGAAGAGAGTATAAGCAATAATAGGAAGGAACAAGGGTTTTTGCTGGTTGAGATAAGGATAGATATACAGGGAGTTGACTCACATTAATTTCCTGTGCATGTGTGTTACCTTCTAAGTTAATTCTTCTCGAACTAACCTTTTCTCTAGTTCCTGGTCCCTTTCTCCTATTGGCCTCAGTTGCTTTAAAGTATCTGCTTTAGTTTCTGTGTGCTGAGGGCAACAAATGCTAGCTAGTTTTTTAGGTGTCTTACCTATCCTCATACCTTCCTTGTGTGCTCTCGCTTTATCATGTGCTCATAGTCCAATCCCCTGGTTGTGTTTGCCTTGATCTAATGTCCACATATGAGGGAGAACATACAATTTTTGGTCTTTTGGGCTAGGCTAACCTCACTCAGAATGATGTTCTCCAATTCCATCCATTTTCCTGCGAATGATAACATTTCATTCTTCTTCATGGCTGCATAAAATTCCATTGCATATAAATACCACATTTTCTTAATCCATTCATCGGTGGTGGG